CTTGCTGATAGAAGGTAAATGTCCGTGCCTTGTGCAGGATTGCTTTGTTTGGTGGTGCTCGCCCACGGGAGCAGGTGAGTTATATCTAGTTTTGGGTGTCAGCTGCTTGTCATTTTGACGGATCTGGCACTGTTATTGAATAATAAATCATTCCTTCTTTTGTTCCTCTACTAGAGCATGTAGTCAAATAAATTACTTAAAGTCAAGCGTCCTGCTCTTCTTTATTGGCGTTCAAATAAATAGTTTAGCGAACGTCCCCCTATTTAATGGCCAATTCTTTGTGGCCCCATTTTCCTGATAAATGATAAGATTTTTGCTTTCCCCAGGTTCTGAAGGAACGAGGGCTTGACAATACCACAATTAACAACAATGATCTTGTCCAAAATTCCGAAAGGTATTGAGGCCGTCTTTGAATGTATTATTTCTCTGTCTCTCTCCCCTCTGGCCCTCCTCCCCCAACCCTACAAAAGAAAAAAAGGGACAAGGAAAAAGAAGAAGCTTTCATTGATAACTGTTTATGCGTTACGTTTTGTTGTTGGAAGGATTGACGAAAATTTTTCAAGGACTGAAAGGGTTCAAGGATCCCCTGTTCCTGTGCATCAGTCTGGAAAAGCGGAGAATCCATCTTTTGATCGAAGGATAGGTAAGGAGGGTGAGAGGAAGGATAACAGGGCAGATCCAGAGATGCAAAGGAGGAATTTCCGTGATAACCGAAGGAAGAATAGAGAAACTGAAAAACAACAGCTGGAGCGGCCACCTTCACCAGAGACTTGGCGCAAGCCTGCTGAGCAGCAGCCGAAACCTGCCTCAAACGCTGTTGGTTTGCGTTATGGGAAAGTAGCTTCTGCCCTTGAGCTGGCTCAAGCCTTCTCTAGATCAGTCTCAGATTCTAACGTGCCCGATAGGGTTCCCAGTCAAAGGAACCTGCCAGGCCGGTCTCAGATGCCTTTTTCGCGCCTAATGGGGCCATCCCCTAGACCTCAAATTAATGGTTATTAAAATAGCAATCCTTCTCGGTCGTGGGAAAAAGAACAAAGAAAAAAAAGAAAGGAAAGGAAATGGGTGGGAACAAACGCAATAAACAAAAAGAAGTTGAAACTTTTAGTTTGTTGTTTGGCTTTGCTACGTGGTGGAAACGATTGTATTGACAGTGAAACATGGCAGCTGCTTCATTAATTTTCATGGCGAAAACTTTATGAATTTTTCTCTCCCTTGAGAATGTTTATTCAGTAGTATTGCAGAATGATCGTTTACTGAAAACTTTCTTTGCAAAAAAATGTCTGCTGTTATTACGTTTAACAACTCATTTTTCATCGCAATTTTTATCTGCATTAACCAAATAGGAAGTGATCATTTATTAGAATTCAGGTGGCACTACGATAGAATCTACCACAAAACCAAGCTTGTCGACTCTTATGGCTTCAAGCTCTTATCGTAGTGCCAAAAATGGCTGCCCAGAAACTGAGTTAGCATCATTTCCCAACATCTGGCTTCCACTAAAAGGACTTGTTAGTTTCGACTTTCAAGCCTGTGGGATCCATCATCCACCCAAAGGGCCTAACCACCACTATCCACGAATTGGTGGCTTGAGTATCGGAAAAAGCCGCACTAAAATAATTAGGCCTATGCCCATTTGCTAACAAACGTCACTTTGGAATGACACTCCCAGTTCTCGTCGGCTTCTTGGGTTCTGAACTTCCAACTTTTAAGCTCTGTCTTTTGTTTCTATTCCTTGGTACTAGTGCTTTGACAGACCCAAGATTTCTCAGAAGAATCGTCGTGGAAATTAAGACCATTTTGTTGAACCAATCTTGGTCAGTTCACCTCAGTTCTGCCGTCTTAAATTTATCTTTTGAATTTGGTTTTTGTTGTAAGAAGCATCAAAAAGAAAGAAAAAAAAAAAGGTTGAACTCTCAAATACTGTCGTTAAGTTACAGTAGAAGATTCAAAGAGAATTCTTCCCACCTTTTCCCCTTTTTTCTTTCCACTTTCCTTTTCTTGCATGCACCTCTTGAGGATTCTCAGTTTTACAATCTTGTGTCAAGACTTCCTCTCTTTCCAAATGCAGATCTTCTGAAGCTGAATGAACTCATATGCGTTTATCTGTTTCATATTCTATTTGAAGAATGGGAGTGTGTTGTGATCTTGAAGTAGATGTCAATGGAGAAGCAACTTTTATGGTGGACAAGGTATATGCAGTTCATAATATTTTTATATATTGTTTTTTTGTCACTCCCTTCATTTCTATTTCCAATAAAGTAAAAATGCAAAAGAGCTTCTCTCAGAAAGCTTCCTCAAAAGTTTCCATGATTACTCTGAAGCTCTGTTCCCTTCATGTTCCTCTGTTACCCATTTGCTTATACTGCCTTTCCATTCATTTGTCCTTTTTATCTAACAAACATTTTCAGAAAATTTCTAACAGCAGCGTTTGCAATTGAAATTTGCAGAGAATCATTCTTTCTTTCTCTGGTAGGCTAAGAAAGTTAATAAGAACATCCACAGATGTAGCAAGGGGTCTGAAAGTTGTCTTACATGGCTTTCCTGGAGGTCCTGAAGGCTTTGAACATATTACAAGGTTTTGCTACAATGGTGGAAGAGTTGAAATCACCCCATCTAATATAGTCCTTCTTCACTATGCAGCCCTTTTCTTGGAGCTGGAATGTCCTAGTGATTCTGCAGAGACCCACTTAATAGCTGAAACCAAAAAATCCCTCCAAGGACTGAACTTTTGGAGCTGGTCTGAGCTTCTGTTGGCCTTGAAACAGTACCAAGTTTGTCTTTCAGTCAGGAAAGATTCATTTTTGGCTCATAAACTCTTGGATTCCCTGATTGGCAGGCTTGATTTTTCTAGTTATGAAAGTACATGTTCATCTTTCTCTACGAGCTCTAGTTTTCGTTTTTCTTATGATACTAAAAGCCATGATAGTGCCACCAGCAAGTTCACTAGAACAACTTGGTGGTTTCAAGATTTGGTGATCTTGAATATTGACATGATTCAGAAAGTAACAAAAATGATGGTTTCACGCAATATTGACCACAAGATAATCTGTAGGTTTCTCTTTTTCTATAGAAAATCAAGAACTTGTCATTCTGAATTAAATGAGCAGCAGAGAATCACTGAGCGTGTTATTGATTTACTCTGTTTGCTTGATCACCAGAGTTCTTTTTCTGGTGAAGGTTTGTTTGACATATATCAGGCAGCTCTGAGTTTGAAGATAAGCAGAAAATCTAAACACAAACTAGAGGTTTTGATGGGTTCACAATTGGATCAATTGACAGTGAGCCATTTGCTTATTCCAGCTCCCTATGGAAAGGATTATGTGTATGATGTGAATTTGGTTCTGAGACTTCTAAAGTCCTTTCAGGTTGAATCCAAAATCTGCCCGTTCCAGCTTTGTAAACTTGAGAAAGTTGCTAAATTGATGGATTTTTACCTGATGGAAGTAGCTCCAGATTCAAATTTGAAGGCCTCCAAGTTTAATGCTTTAGCCATGGCACTGTCACATTCAAGAGAATCTCATGACAAACTTTATCAAGCAATTGATATCTACTTTCAGGTAATGAACTTCAATTAAACTGAATGAAAATTGTGAGATTTTTCACAGGAAATCCAACTTCCTTTCAGTGGGAACTAACACTAAAGTTTTGATATTGACAGGTTCATGTTGAATTATGTGAAGATGAAAAGATCAAAATCTGTTCTTCACTGAACTACAGTAAGCTATCTACTGAAACTTTGAAGCATTTGACACAAAACCCAAAATTTCCTTGTAGAAGAGCACTGATTTCCAAGCAATACAGCCCCATAGATTTGTTCTGTCGCAGTATGATCAGTAAAGTTGCAAGAGTCTCGCCTTCTACCTGCACTGCTAATGGAAATATGCAGGTAAGAGAAGAACTGAAAGCCATGAATCCAAAGCTCATAGCAGCAAAGAAAAATCAAACCGTGTGTTCTAATTGAGCTATAAACAAGTTTGCTTAGATCAATTAATTTGCAGGTTGTAACATATAAGGGATAGAGGAATTCAAATTATTGTTTTGATCCATATATTTTCAATGAATGAAGTTGTCGTTTTAGATTGTTTGAAACATTGAATATTAGGATAACGAATATTAAAGCTAATAAAGAAGTGGAAGACAGAGACAAAGACAAACATCCTCGAAGTGACCACTTTCTATTTAGTTTTTTTATTCCAGACATTTATACAAACATTTTTGGTAACTGTGAAAATAAATGTGTTCCAGTTTCCAATATTTTTGGAAGGAGTGTGCATTTAATGAATCAATAGCCTCCATCCAAAATTACTCCATTAAATATTGGATTTTGATTCTTCATTTTAGGCTTTCCTTGAAAGTTTTACTTTCCATAAGTGTGTTTTAAAAACTTTGAAGAGATGCTCGAGAGAAAGACTAAAGATGACAATATTTGTTAGCAGTGTGCTTGAGCTGTTATAAATTGTATCAGAGTCAAACATGAGACAGTGTGTCAGCGATGATGTTGGCCTCAAGGGGGTGGATAGTAAACTCCCACCTTGGTTGGAGAGGAACGAAACATTTTTTGTAAAGGCGTGAAAACCTCTCTTAACTAACACACATTCTTTGTAAGGGTGTGGAAACTTCTCTTAACTAACACATTTTAAAATTTTGAGGAAAAGTCCGAAAAAATCCAAATAAGACAACATCTGCTAGCGATTGACCTAAACAGTTACCTTTGAACCTTAGACTAGTAGAGAGATAAAAAATTTATGAGTTGAGTTTAGTTCATGAATATATAGGCTACATAATAGTTAGAACAATGTTCATGATGACCATGGTTGCCTTTAATTAAACTTCAATTTGTGAATAACTCAAACAAAATAATTTTTAATTTGCATTCAATAAAGACAAATGGTAGTTCGTTATGAAATTTATAAGCGTTTATAAAGGTTTAATTTTGTGATGACAATAGACCTTAGATGTACAATGAAATCTCTTTGTTGTCACAACTCGCCCTATATTTGTAGGGTAATGCAAACAAAGAGTAGTATATTTTTTCTTTCCGTGACTCAATTATATTTTTGAAGCTCTATGAAGATCTTAAACGTCTCTTAAACTCCTACACTTTCATAAAGCACAAACTTCACAAGCTTCTCTAGCGTTGGAAGGTCTTGATTCTCATCATAACCATACAAAAGAGGAACAAATCTAGCAATATTCAGAGAAGCTTGAATAAATGTCGGTGGATATGGATTTGGAGAAAACAGGCTTTCTTGGTTCAGCCTCTTCCACGCATCGGATATCATGTGGCTAATATGCTCTCGTGTGCTGTCAACAGAGATCCCTGGATTTTCTTTCATATAGCATTCTATATAAGACCCATCATGTCCTTTTTGGTTCTCGTCCTGTATAATAAATTAAATGATATTCATCTATTACGTGAAACAATGATATGATAGTGTCCACTTTGAACATAAGCTCTCGTAAGATGTATTCCTTACTTATAAATTTATGATAATTTCTTGAATTAGCTAACGTGAGAACTCCTCCCAACAATTTTTAATAGAATAAAATAAATGTTTTTGGATTACCTTTGCACTTCCCAAATCATCGCTGAGTCGAAGAATTGACGCAGTGGAAGACACAATGTCTGGATTGCAACTCAAAAGAACTGCCTCGTTGCTCACACCTTGGCCTAAGAGAAAGAAGATGTGAGCTAAAACAACATGAACTCCAGAACTAACTTCTCCATTCTCCAAGTATTCTTTGGCACTTGGCAGATGGCTAGAACCAAACCATTCTGCTTCCACTAGAAACGCCTCACAAAGTCTTACCCACTGAAAAAAAAATTGAATATCAACTCATCAGGATTTATAACCGTCTAAATCCACCGCTAGCAAATATGTTCTTTTTGGACTTGGACACACTTTTGAGCTTTCTTTCAGAGATTTAAAACGCGTATGCTAGGGAAAGGTTTCACAAGAGTGTTTCGTTTTCCTCCCTAACCAATGTGAGATATCACAATCCACCCCTCTTTAGGGCCCAGCGTTCTTGCTGACACTCTTTTCTTCCTCTAATCTATGTGAGACCCTGCCAAATCCACCCCCTTTGGGGCTAACGTCCTTTGGCACACCGCCTCGTATCTACCCCCTTAGGAGAATAGTCTCCTCGCTGGCTCATAGCCCTGTGTCTGACTCTGATATCATTTGTAACAATCTAAGCCCACTACCAGCAGATATTGTCCTTTTTTGGACTTCCCCTCAAGGCTTTAAAACGCGTATAGCCTCCTCGCTGGCACATCGCCTGGTGTCTGGTTATGGTACCATTTGTAACAACCTAAGCCTACAGCCAGCAGATATTGTCATTTTTTGGGTTTCTCCTCAAGGCTTTAAACGCGTCTCCTAGGGAAGGTTTCCACACCCTTACAGAAGGTATTTCGTTCTCCTCCTCAACTAATGTAGGATATCACAATCATAACCGCTTTAATATAAAAATTTACCGATTTGCATAGGGAATTAATTGGGTTCCAGCCATGCTTTAGATAAAACTTGTGACATATTTCATTTGTTGTTTCATGAAGTTTGATAATGCAAAATTTCATTGGTTTTGGTAAGCCGTCGAGAGCTGCCAAGTCCCATCTGCATGAACTGAGGTCAGTCCACCAAACATGTACCTTAAAAAACACGAAGAAATTAGTGTCATACCTTTGGATTGCTTTAGTGAATAGTCTAAGTTCTTCAAGTGAACCGTATACATCGTAGATGTCGTCAATAAGATAGATAAAAGATATACATTTTGTCAGCTCAACTCTCTCTTCTGAAAACATTGGATCTGCTAAGAACGCCATCGAACAAATGTACCATTTAAGTGGCTGATCTCTTGCAAACTTCAGTTCTTCACATAATCCTGTCCTTTTCCACCACCTATGTGCCCATTATATCATACAATAATATTAAAACATCTTCATAATAATAGTTTTTCAATACATTAAAAAAACCCATCAAACCCAAAAATCTAAAATACAACTACGTCCATCACTAGCCCATATCGTTCGTTGTGACCCGTTATGTATCGACATTAGCTTCACGATTTTAAAATATGGAGAGATTTTCATACCTTTATAAAAAATGTTTCGTTCCCCTCTTTAACTGGATGTGCGATCTCACAACAACCCTTTGAATCACTTCACTCTTGTGAGGAATGATTCGTTATCCTCTCCAACCGATGTGAGATCTCACAACAAACTTTTGAATCACTTCACCTTTATAAGGAATGCAAGATCTCACAACGACCTTTTGAATCACCTCACTCTTATAAGGAATGCTTCATTCCTTTTTTTAACTAACGTGCGATCTCACAACAACCCTCTAAATCACTTTACTCTTGTAAAGAATGTTTCAGATTTCACAATAACCCTTTGAATTTACGCTTTAAAAAGCATAAAATCTTAAAAAATATGTTTGAGAAATGGAAAAAAAAGTGATAAGATACCCTAAGTGTGTGGCTTATAAGTGCACGCATAAACTTACATAATGAATTGAGACAATTCAAGTCCGTGTAGCTTCTGGACTCTATTGAAATCCAATTTTGCCATGTGTTGAAAAACATAAATCCACTTATTTGGAGATTGGGATCCAAAGTAATCCTTCACCACAAATTTCACCAAGCGCTTATGAAAGGGATTGGCCACAGCTTTCCTCACATGTTTGCCTAAATTATCGTCGTGATTCCTCGCAAGTTTCTTCAAGATACAAGCACTAAAATTTCCAATTTTCTCGAGTTTTTCGTCTTCGGGGAGGCATAATTGGGAAGCTTCGTATAAACTCGTGAGCCCTTCGATATTTTCTCTAAATTTTGTGTCTAATAGACCCTCGTGATCGATGAAGCCTCCAAAAACATCTGCCCAAAAGCAACAATTTTGATTATTTTGTTGGGTTTTTGTTTGTTATTGAAAAGGTTATTGAAATCACCTTGTGGTACAAAATAGCCATGTTGTCTTAAGAGTCGAAAGCGAAGAGCAACTTGATGAAGGCCACATTTAGCATCAAAATTGTGAGTTTCCATGGTGTATTGTGTTTGAAGAATTGCTTTAATCTCCTCTTTGAAGCAGTGGTCAATCCCCAAGCGCTGTATTGCATCAATCATATTCAAGCTCTCCAAAGAATCAATTTTGGCCATCTCACTCAACAAATGCTTCAGATTCTTCATTTCAAATTCATATTTCATGCTCATTTTGTCCTGCGTAAATTACACCAAAATCTACACTAATTATCAACAAATTCATGATAATTTGAGCTTGAAAACAAAATTAAAAATCAAAGAGGCATACAGTTGAAGGAGAAATTTGTGAATCTGCGGGAAGGGAAATTGGAAGGAAGGAGTGATGTAGAGGAATGGTCCATTTTTGAGAGTGAGGAACCATATTGTGCATGGAAGCTTTTGGATATGGCTGAAAAGAAGAAGAAGAAGAAGAAGAAGAAGAAGAAGAAGCAGCAGAAGGAGGTGGAATTACTCCAACTAGTAGCATTGCTGATGCTGATGCTGCCATGGGATGGATGAAGAAATCCTTGAATGGCTCAAAATATTGTAAGATGGTGGGATGTATTGGGTGATAGCGCCCATTTATAATACTATTTGCGTCTAATACTATTTATAATGTTTCATCGCGAGTTGATGTTGTCCGCTTTAATCTATTACATAGAATTGAATTTGGTAGCCTAAATCACATGGATTTGTTCGAGAGATTCATATTTCTTTGCCTTTATTTATTTATGGTAAAAATAAAATAGAAGTAAAATTTTGTACCATTTAAAACCATACCATACAATTGCCAAAATCCAAATCAAATCATTAGAGATGGTTCAAGTTATTTATAGAATAGGTATTATTCTAGTTTTTTTTATATTATTATTATTTGTTTTTATTAAGGTCTCAAACAATTATTGATGGACATATTTGGCACATTTATTGTGAGTTTTAAATATCACATCGTAGTGGCTTTTTTATTATTTTTTTTATTTTTAATATTGCATAAATATGGTATGGTATTGTGCTATTTTATTTGTTTGCCATATCTTCGCTAGGTGTTTATGGAATTATTATCGCGGGTTGGTCTAGTAATTAGGGGGCGGCCGTTCGGTCGCCTATGATACTAGGACCAATAGGTCAAAAATGGGTTTGTGCCGCACGTGTTGAACGATCTACTCTACATAGGTGTGGGCTTCTATAAAAAAAAAAAGAGATCATATGAAAAATGTAACCAATTCTTTCATTTTTTTGGGTTATTGGCCACCCACCGTGATAAAACAAAATTATTGAATAATTTAATTCTGTTAAATCAAACATGAACCGATGAACAAAATTATTAAATAACTCAATTTATGTAAAACCAAACATGGACTATCTAACAAGTAATGGATATGATAACTTACGAATAACGCTATCGTGTAGACTTTTTATGATATTTTTCCTATGGTGCGATAGTTTTTATGTTATTAAAAGTTTATGGCATGGAATCTTCCTAACATTTTAAAAACCTTAGAAATTTCTTTTTGAGAAAACACCAATACCAGATAGATATGAGTTTGAAATATCCGAAATAACTCTGTAAGTAAATGCAACAATTGTCCATTTTCAAGAATCCAAAGACCTGCTATTTTACATGGCAACATTCCTTTCTAAGGCTTCGTATGATATCATTCTCACAAAACTCATCATCAAATCCACCACAATTTCTGTCACGACCTGACTTTCGATACAAAAGACTCTAAATATGAAAACGGATAAAAGACTCTAAAAGACCGACAAGGGACTGGTACCTCTCGAACACCTCCCTGTAACGACACCCCTCTGTGACAGTGTAGCTCTCGAACACCTCCCCGTATCGATTGGTACCTGAAAAAAAAAGGGAGAAAGGGGTGAGAATAAAAATATACTCAGTAAGCAACCTACTTGTAAGCTCTTTTCGCTTTCTTATCTTAGTAGGTATCCACGGTCTTTCTCGAGTTTCTAAGGAGTGATCTAAGCTACAACTCTCTTTTCTGTATCTTAGGAGGCTTGCCCATCTTATGCAGTGAAATGGTCAGTGTCTTGAGGTGAGGCGCGACCTCATAAGTAAATTTGAGGGGATCGTATGACTGGATTTGAAATACGTGACTCTCTCTGAACATCATCCGTAAAGGTTAGCTGACAACCCTCTCACGAGACCATACATCTACTAAATTTGGGGTGCGACTCCCTGTGTGTCGGTCAGCTACTAAGTCATCCTATGTGGCTCCACGTCCCCCACTCAAGGACAGATTTCTACGACCTAGGAGTCCTGTTCAAAAGACCCCTTAGCTATCACCATTAGGTCTGAGCACCTGTCACACTTCCCTATCCGGATTTGCTAAGCTCAACAATCTTCGTATCGGAGCTCTGTCTCGACGGTACGGTATCGGAGCAGAGAGAGAAGTGGAGGTTCTGATGACACTACCCACACTGCACAACTCTAGCGGGCTACCTACAGTGACCGTGATGTCCTACTATTCTTTCTAGGGTGGAACTTGGTGGCTTAGACTTGGATTCATGCCTCTCTAGGATTTTCGTGCCTTGTCTCACAAACCTATCGGGTTTGGAATTCTGGGCTCTAGATCTGCCAGTAATCGTTTTCCGGGTCTATATGCACGGTATTCTAGAGGTCTCCCAATCTAGGATCTCGTCTAGCCTACTTAGTCACAAGCACCTTAATCTACGCTCATAATTTCTTCCTATTCAACAAGAAAGATAACGCAAACAATCATCATGCATAGGAGTTCACATGCAACAGTTCATGCAATATTAACAAACATGCTCAACGGGAAAATAACGTCCATCTTCACCCGGAGCGCAAATTTCACAAGTTTCCCATCCTCATGCATACATACTTTATCATAATCTCAATCAAAACAGATTTAATAAACATTTCATATCTAGCTTTCTTTAATCATTTCATTTTCGCAGTTTCTATACTAATATACTAGGTCTGGCTAGCTAAGTTTATGAGTGGTAGCATGCATGCTTATTCCTAGCGGTTCCTATAAGTACTGCTCGTGGGAATCCAAATGGCTATTTACTTGGTTGAAGCATGCCTTCCCAAGCTCGAATTTATTTGCTGGAAAAGATTCCAAAAATTATGGAATTTCCTTGATAGGTTCTAATTCACAAAAAAAAACAGAATCAAATTTGAAATCGGGGCGAAAAACAACCAAACGGAGGCCAAACGGGTGAGAGAATGGGTCCCATGCGCTGTGCACGCGCCAGCAGGTCCCCACACGCGCCGGCACAGCCCACACACGCAGCCTCCACGCGCAGGGCACACGAGCGGGCAGTGCCGCGTTTCGAACCCCAGCGGCCGCGGACTTACCTTTAAATTTTCTGAGCGTGACACGTGGTGCGCAGTTTTTGGACCGCGGGTTTTCGAACCGGTTCGGTGGCGTACGATTCGACCCGGCTCAGCGCACCAGTGGAACGCCGCCACGTGACGCACGCCGGCTCCGCCGCGCTCTTCCGTTCGCCGGTCGACGCATGGCGGTCTCTCTCTCTCTCCTCTGTGTGTTTCAAATTTCGAGATGTTAGCATTTTCGCGTTTTCGATCTATTTTCTTCTGATTTTCTTATCTTTTGATCCGTAATCAATATCAACAAAGTTTCTTCACAAAAATTGTATATCTCATATTCTACAAAGTTTCTTCACAAAATTGTAGATTTCATATTCTACTTCTACAATATATTTTTCCTTTATTTTTTCCTTGAACACAGGTGAGTTGCCGTCCAAAGATACGAAATTGTAGATCTCATATTCTACTTCTACAATATATTTTTCCTTTATTTTTTCCTTCAACACAAGATGAGTTGCCGTCCAAAGATACGAAATACTCAAATTTTCTGTTTTCGATCGGTTTACCCGAAGTCCGACTAAACTCCAATTTTCGTCCGATTCTCGTCCAGAAACTTCAAGAAACCCGTGTGAATCTTATTTGAGTTACATACATCAAAAACTGCAGATCTAACGCTAAATAAACTCCTCAGATTTAGATAAAATCGAAACAAGAAGTTCGGAACCTTCCTTTGTCCGTTCTCGGATTTTCTTTGCCGGAATGAGTGAATCCGCCACACCTAGTGTACAGCACACGCCACATGCCACACCAGCGCCCTATCACCTTTGTGCTCACACCATGCCCACCAACACCTTGTGTATGTTAAATAATAGAGACTATAGGATATGTTATGCATTTACTACTCCCACTTACTAGGTTAAAACTACTTCCTTAAAAGATTTACTCTCACCTTCAACAAAGAGAAATCCAAAAGTGAGACTCACACGAGTCATAGATTGGATTTAATGTGAATTATAAATTTAGTTAATGACTATCATAGTCAAGTTTAGTTCCAGACTAAGAAATAATAAAATCGAGAAAGGGAAAAAATGCATATAAGAAAGTAATCAATCAAATTATAAGACCAAAACTTTAAAATTTCACTAAAAAAAAAAAAAAAAAAGTTGATTTGTATTTACACCTCCATTTTATGAAAGAGAAATTGTTTAATAAGGTTTTCGAGGGACATAATGGATTGGGTTCTGCCATAGTTATATGCAATAGGAACTCCTCTTGCGAGATTGAGACAAGCTTGATTGAAGTTGGGAGGAAATAGATTGGATAATAAGCATTCTGTATTCAGAGTCTTCCATGCATTACAAATTTGCTTCATAGTATGTAGCTTCGTTTCTTCATAACACGTACTCGGATGCTCCTTCATGTAATATTCTAAATACGACCCATCGTGCCCCTCTTGATTCTCATCCTGTGTCAACATGAACATAGTTCAAAAATTAAAATCGAACATTCGAATACGCGCATGATATGGGTACATAATTAATTAAAGCTAACCTTGGCACTTCCCATGTCATCCCAAAGCCGCAAAACTGTAGCACTAGATGAAATGATATCTAAATCCTCATCAAAAAGCTCCACACTTTCCTTGCTAATTGCCTCGCCTAACAAAAAGAAGACATGTATTAATGTAACGTGGACGCCTGTGCTAACCACTCCATTTTTTAGATACTCTTCTGCGCTTGGTGATTGCCCAGAACTCAACCATTCAGCTTCGACCAAAAATGCCTTGCATAATTTTGCCCACTGCAAAAGTTATTCAACTCTTTACTTACCTAAACATTTAAGTCTATGGTTTCTTCAATGAGCTAAATTTAAATTGTACCGCTTTATGTAAGGAGTGAATAGGATTCCATCCATGGGCTTGATAGATCTGGCAGCTAATTTCATTAGTAACTTCAAAAAGGGTTCTTAAACATGTTTGCATGCAGTCTGGTAATCCTTCAGCAGCAGCCAAGTCCCATCTAAACAACCATTGCAATAACATATTAATAAAGTTAACAGTTCAACTCCACTATTAGTAGATATGGTTTGTTTTGGCTTATTAAATATCACCGTCAGTCTCACGATTTTAAAATGCGTCTGTTAGGGAGAGGTTTCTACACTTTTATAAGAAATGTTTCGTTCTCCTCTCCAACCGACGTGAGATTTCACAATCCACCCCTTTTGGAGGTCGAGCGTCTAAGTGATACAGTTCAGTGTCTGACTTTAATACCATTTGTAAGAGCCCAAGCCCACTACCAGTAGATATTGTCCAATTTAACTTACGCTTTACCTGACTTCCACTCAAAAACTTTTAAAACATGTATGTTAGGGAGAGATTTCTACGAGAAAGCGGTTTATTTATAACCTGCAAACGGCTTCTGTGAATATGGTGAGTTCATCCAGAGTTCCAAAAACGTCAAAAATGTCGTCGATGAGATATACGAAAGAGATGGATTTTGCAAGTTGGATTCTTTGTTTGGAGTAGAAGGAATCTGTGCTGAGGCAAATCAATGAAGCAACGTACCATTTAATGGGTTGATCTCTAGAGAAATTCAAATCTTTTGCCAAATCTGTTTCTTTCCACCATCTGGCAATCATCATTATCAAGAAGATGTATCCACTATTAGTAAATATCATGGCCCTTTATAGTACAATTTAGACATATTTTTTTGAAAGATTCTATGCTGGTTGGAGAGAGGAATGAAGCCGTATAACTATTCCTACCATAGTGTTTTAAAAATTAGAAGAAGAAGAAGAAAAAAAAAAAAAAAAAAAAAAGCTTACTTCGTAAATAGAGCGAGTTCATGTTGGCATAAACGTTGAGCTGAGTAAAGCTCCATTTTTGCAGCATCTCGAAAGATATTAATCCATTTGTTTGGCCATTGCACATCTTCCAAATAGTTAGGCGCCATTAATTGCACCACACTTTTATGATGAGGATAAGCTAAAGTATGCTGAACAAAACTGGCTAAATGATGATCAACTTGTTCAGCTTCAGCCCTAGCCTTTAGCCAATGGCTGCTAAAGTTTTCAGCTTCTTCAAGAATCTCCTCTCCATGCATGCATAGCTGTGAAGCTTCATATAAACTCGTCAGCCCCTTTATATCATCTTTCAGCTCTTCCTTGAACTTCCCCTCCTTGTCCAAGAAACTTTCGAACACATCTGGTAAGAAAATTTATTAAGAATGAGCAATCAGAATTATAACTTCAATTAATGTTCACAACTTTTAGATAGGATATAAGCTCAACCTGAGGACAAGAGGTACCCATGTTGTCTGAAAAGTCGAAAAAGGAGGGCAGTCTTGTGGAGATCAGTGTCTGAATTCAATTGAACAGCATTAAACAAAACGTACTGCCTTTGCAGAATAGCTTCAATTTCCTCTTGGAAATGATAATCAATGCCAAGGCGTTGCGTTGCATCAATTAGATTTAAACATTCCCAAGGGTCTCCTATTTCTCTCAAAACATGCTTCAAAATCCTCCCTTTAACTGGAGCTTCATGCCCAATGTCATCATCCTGCATTGGAATATCAATGCAACACAAAACCCATTTAACCAAAGAACAAAAAAAACAGCATAGTGTGAGAGAATGAGAGAGATCAGTGAGCGTACTGTTAAAATGAAAGATTGGTTCTTGGAACGATTGGGTTTAAAGTGAGTGGAAAGTAATGTATGATCACGAAGAACAATGGTTTGTTTGTTAAACAAGCGCTTGTTAACAGGAGAATCATTACTTTGTGGAATGTTTAGTGATGCAAGTAAGGGAGAAAAGGAAGCATGTGGAGAAAAAGCCATGTTTTGTTGTGTTTATGTAGCAAAGAGAGGGAATAGAAGGGAAATAAGATAATTGGAAGTGTGGAGTGTGAGTCGTGAATGGTGTGTGGTGATGTTTATATATAGTCTGGCGTCTTCAACTCTGGATTTCAAGTCAATACGCAATTTGCTTAATGCCCCAACATGAATTTACTCCAAATTTAGAGGAAGCAAAGTTTGAATTTGTAGCCTATGGAACAAAACCATTTCCATATATGTTCATTCCAAAACACAATAAAAACGTTTTTTCTTCTTTTCTTTCCTTTTTAACGAAAATAAGTTACGAATAGCCGTTGGCCCCACAATTTTAAAAGAAATATTTCGTTTTCCTCTCTAACCGACGTGAAATCTCACAATTCACCCTCTTTGGAGGGCTAATATTCTCGCCGACACACCGCCCGGTATCTAGATTGATACCATTTGTAACCTCCCAAGTCCACTGCTAGTAGGTCCATTCTAATTCGTTACGAATAGCCGTTAGCGTCACGGTTTTAAAACGCGTCTACCCACACCTTTATAAGGAATGCTTCATTCCCCTATCTACCGACGTGAGATCTCATAATCCACCCCCTTAAAGGCCTACGTTCTTACTGACACAACGCCTCGAATCTAGCTTTGATATCATTTGTAATAGTCCAAGCCCACCGTGAGTAGATATTATTCAATTTTGCCCATTACATATCGCTTTAAGCTTCACTATTTTAAAACAAGTCTATTAGGGAGAGATTTCCACATTCTTATAAGAAATGTTTTGTTTTCTTCTTCAATCGACGTGAGATCTCAGATGATATCATACATTAATATTCGACGTTGGGAATATAAGTTACGATACATTTCGTGTTTTATTTCTAATAGTTATTAGGAGATATGCATAGTTACAAATTTGTACCAAAAAAACTTGTGGTAGTCTCTTACTGTTATTTAGACCATTCAAAAGAGACATTTGGGAAGAAGATTCATTGAAAGTTGTTAAAGGATGAATCTCACCACCACCAAAATGTTGGAGGTTTTCAAGGCCATAATTGCTTATCTACTAAACTTAACCATTTTCATATTTTTCATTGTAAAATATTTGTGATTAAAAAAGTATTTAACTAAATTAATAAAATTATGTTATTTTTACTTTGCTTTAAAAATATTTTTTTTTTTGACTTTTTAATTCTTTAGAACATTAAAAAAAAAAAAATTTCTTTAATATTTCGTTTCAAAAAATACTTTTAAACGAGTTCTAAACTTTTAAAATTTTAAAAAATTATAAAAGAGAAAGATAACTATGAAATTTCTCTCTATCAAACGCGGTTTAAAACTGTGACCTAACGATGATACGTAACGAGTTAAAGTGAATAATATCTACTAGCGTAGACTATTACATATAGTCACACAAACAAAAAGAGACGAGATAAAAATGTATTATATATTATGATATACATCACCATCAATTCATCGTGCAAAATGTGGAAGACAAAGTAGTCCTTGTAGGCCATACTACACCCTTGCATGTTGTGTACCAAATTTAATTGTTGACTCTTGGTTGTGAAACACATTTTATGGTATCGTTTTTCTTTATATATGCACCACAAACACAAGTTGGTTGAACATGATCGTTGCACACCTAGCTGCAGCAGCCGTTTGTGGTTTCAAAGTGATCATATTATGAAACAATTCAAGTTCATCGCTAGTCAATCAGTATTAAACTGAGATGAAATGACATTATAGAACTTCTAATATAAGACGAGGTGTTTTGATACCATGTTTCATCACCGATTAACTCAAAAACTTAATTCGATAAACATGTCATGTCGGCATTTATGTCGAAAGAGAAAACCTTAACTGTCACCTCTAGTCCCTGAACTACTCAACCGGAACAAAGAAGGGAGACGAAACATTCATTAATTATCCCTTACACTAAAAGAAAGAGTAACTAAATGAAGAAGAAAATGAAAGAAGAAGATGAGGATATTCCTTTCCAGTTTAGAAAAGAAAAGAGATGAATGATCTACTGAAACCTTCCCCATTTATTCATGAGCAGCTCTTTACTCCGATTCCTTCTTTCACTATCGGGTGGAACTATCTCTTTTCTTTTCAAACACAGTAACCAAAGACTAACCGAAAGAGTTTACGAACTTCACTCCTCTCCCTCTCGGTCTTCATGGCTTCGCTCATTTGCCTTGTAACCTAGTCTCACAGCTTCGCTCCGTAACCTATCGGGAGAGTTGAGTTGCTGCGCTCCTCTTCATTTATTCTTTTACTCTGAGGCAAAGCAGCTAAGCTAATTCATTTCCTCAACCTTAAACCTTTTTCTGATTGAACTACTACTGAACGAACCTTCTTGAGCCTATTTCTTATTGAACAGTAAGGGAACCTGATTTCACTCTTTTACTCTCTCCTGTAAGAAAGATTAATGATCGAGACTGAATTAGTGAACCTGAACCTATTTATTCACTGTAAACTAAGACTCAACCGAAAGATGAGAGTTTACGAACTAAACCTCTCCCTATTTATTCTTTCATTTCACTCTTGAACAAGGTAAAGCATATTAGCTCTTTTCTTGAATTTGATTCTCCTTGAAAGACTCAATCAAATGAAAGGGAAGCTCACTCCTCTTCGAGTCGAGTGGCTGAACTCCTTTTCCTATTTCTTCTTGAACGAGGGGTAAATAGGTCAAGTTATTTTACGGTCTCGTTGCTGCGCCCAGTTTCTAAATTAGTTACAACCGTAGGAACCTCAATAATGCAATATTGCATGGTACCCTTTGGATGGTAGGTATGAAGCTGAGGAGACAGACAACCTAAAAATGAAAAAGCATTATTCAGATTTTGACTCTTGGCCATGAAACACACTCTTCTCTTCCTCTATTTCTCTCTTCTACACATGCAGCCAATTTTTAGAAGTGTGGACCCATTTAATAATAATAAAATAAAATAAAAAATGGAGAATTGTGTTCCATTTGCAAAGATCCTTCCCTCTTTTGGTATTCAGTTTTGAGTTGGATGATACAGTTTGTTCTATAGGTTTTTAAATCCTACTCTTATATCACTGAGTTATAGGAAATAGTGGGTGATACTCGACTAAAAGAGATACGTGTATGAATCGAGACTACATCTCAATGACAGTCGTTTTGAAGATAGGATAACTAAAAAAGACTCAAGGTGCATCTTTCTTTTCGGTGGTGTTGCAAGGGATACAGGAAAATGTTGGAACATGACGTATTGAATTTGAGTTCTAAATTCTGATCTAGACATAGAACATTACATATTCAAATGTTCTAGTTATCGTCTCCTATTTCAATATTTATGTGTATGAATTTTTCCTATTAGTAATAATATAAATTTAGATTTTCATAAGCTGCCACCTAAATTATAGTCCGTTCCCACTGTGACAAGAAATTTGGTGGATTGGAGTAGGGGAGCCATGTGAGATGTGACCATTTGGAGTTTATGCCTTCAAAAGATAGATTTGGGATTTTTCTTCCATTGGTTTCAAACTTTTATAAGGATGGGTTGTCAAGAATCTCTTCTCTACAACCGACGTATGATCTCACAATCCATCTCCTTTAGGGGCTCACCATTTGACACACTGTCTAATGTTAAGTTCTAGTGCCATTTGTAACAACTCAAAGTCTACTGTTGTTAGCAGATATTGTCTGTGTTAGACTGTTATGTATCGTTGTTAGCTTCACGCTTTTAAAACGCATCTTTTAGATAAATGTTTCTACACTATCATTTTCTCTCCAATCAACGGGAGATCTTACAAAAACAATTTTCTTTTCTATTTCCATTCCTTTGAATCAAAGTTAAAGTCGAATTTGGTAATTGACTTTGTTCCTCCATTTTTATGTCTTTTCCCACTTCTAATCTTAAGGATTCCTTAAGATATATATCCCATCCACATTATTAACTTACAAATAACTACATACATAATAATAACATTTTTTTTGAGTTTTGTCACATTAATTAATTTCTTAACATTATGATTAAGTTTTTAATTATGAGTGAATAAACATTTTAATTATTTTTCACAAATTAATCACTTTTTATTAGGTTGGCGAAATTGGATAAATTATCCAATGAAATCGTCAAAATAGGACTATCTTATAAAAATAGAACTATCTCATACTAAATATTAAATTTGGATTTGTTGTGGAAACCTGAATTATTTTTCCACATTTTTTTTAGGAAAAAAAATACTTTTAAAATTTAATTTTTTTTTTTTTTTTTGAAAAGTGTAAATTTATGAAATTTAAAATGAATTTAATATTAAAAGAAGAATTACATGTTGATGCTAGAAAAAGAGTTATAATTTATGAGACGAAGAATAATAACGGGGAAATAATTAAAATATATGTGATTAGAATATTGTTATTGTCTTTGATTTTGCATAAAAATGTTATTAAAATTTTTATTAGAATTGGTATTTTCAAATTTTAATTATATTACTTAATTATGGTTAATTATTTTATTTTTATCTTATTGAATTATTAAAATAATTTTAACTAATTTAATTTTAGGTTTTTAGTTTATTCTACCATCAATCTCAATAATTACACTTAATAAGAGTAAGAGTGTATGTTTATATTTAAAAAATCAAATACACGTGGAGTATTATTAATGAATGGGTTAAGTAAAATTAGTGCAGTAAATAATAAATAATTAATTAGTAATAATTATTGAAAATAACTCTTTGCCCACCTAGGCTAACTAATCGTAATTAATTAATTAATTGTTAATTAATAATTTTAGTAAATAATGTAATTCATTTATTTAAATAAACTAAGATTGGGAAAATGGGAAAATGAAAAACTCGTGGATTTATAATTACTTACAAACCTCATACCTAAAAATTTTGTGGACAATAAGAAAAAAAAAAAAAAAAAAAAAAATCCTGATTAAATATGATCGTTTATTTAATTGCTCCATACAGATTGAACTGGCTTGGCCCAAACCAAAAGAATACTTTTGATTTATTGGGCCTCTAATATTGGGCCGACATGAGAGAAAAAGCCCATTACACTACAAGATGAGATTAAAATTCGAGTTTATTAAGAAGAAGAAATTACAGATTATCTACCAGATTGATACACAGAAACCTGATGAAAATCAAACATCATCGGACCGAACGAAGTCGTTTTGATTCAACCAAACGTAGCGATAGACAGGCTCCGCTTGATACTGTCTTTGATACCCATAAACACCGTCTCCTTCACTCCTTCCATCTGGATATGGGTTATGGCTTCCGAATAGATAGTCCGCCGCCGTCTGCCACTGGTTGCCGTAATTGCCATAGCAATAGCAATGCCCATGGCAACGCCCACAGCCGTTGTTGGGTTGTCTACAAGCTGTTTGCTTTTTAATCCGTGAGAGACATGGCCAATACCCAAATAAACTTTCACAAAGATCCATCGCTTCCAGGCCATACCCACTTGGAAATTGGTTCACTTCCCTTCCATTTCCATACCCAATTCCCGGATCTGCAAAGGGAATCGCTTTAACTTCCTCAATTTCTTCAGATTCAGATGCCGTGTTATCTTTCTCGATCTGGGTCGGCTTGATTTCGCTCGACGGCTCTGTTTTTTCTTCAATTTTTTCCTTTGGTGCCTCATGAATTGCGGAGATGGGAATGGCGGTGGGTGGGGGTTTTGGAGGTGAAGAAGAGGAGGGTGAGTAGCAAATGTCAGTTGAAGGTTGAAGGGGCTTACCGTAGGTTTCATGAATGTCGTAGCCACCGCCGTAAGGGGTTGGATCGTACTCTTCAAATTCTGTCTCGTTGAATTCTGAAACAGAGTAGGAGATCACAAATTGGGACGACACCTTTTGGGTACCATCGCTATACAAATCAGAGTCGTATTCGATCACTTTTGGGACACTGAAAGTCGATGCAGAACAAGCATTGGCCGAGTAGCTAATTGTATAGCCATAAGCCCCATGGTCAACGGGTTGATGCTCGATCAATTGGGGGAATTCATTGAAATTGGATGTGTAGGGAGCATAAGCCTGACCGAAATAACAAGGAGGTGGATAGTCAAAGAGATTGTAGAAGGTGGGTTCGTAGCTGGATTGCGGAATTGGAGGCTCAGTTTGAGCAGAATCGTAGTAGGAATCGTATGAATCGTAGAAGGCCATTGTAGAGTGGATGTTTTGGTCATGGAACGAATTGGGGGATCTTCATTTGGGAAATTGGGGAAGCTCTAATTTCTTTCAACGTCGTTATCGATCCAACCCAAAGTTCTTCCAACCACATAGCGCTTATCTAATTGGGATTTGGGTGGGAAGAATGAATGTTACGCAACTTTTTTGGTGCAATAACAGCAGGGGTTCGACAAGTGGTCGTGGGGGTGTATGTGTCCATTCGTTCTTAACAGGATTAAGCTTAGCTCAGTCATCTCCTTCTTCCTTTTCGGCCTTGTTGCAGTAAAAATAGAGTTTTTTTTTTTTTTTTTTTTTTTTGAAATGTAGTTGAGCTTGCTTAGATAATCAATGTCGCTAAAGATCAAAACCAATGGCACCAAATAAGGGTGGGTGATGTTACATATGAACGAACGTTGATGTGACTGAAAAGGAATCCAAGGCCCCAAAGCAGTTGAAGAAATAATAAAACTATCTTGTTTAAAACACAAGTTGATTGGTCGGGTTTGTTTTATCCGACCAGAAAAGTGCATTCTTGAGATTCTAGAATTGATGAGTGAGGTTGGAGAGGTGCTACTCTTGGGATGGTATTATATGTTGGCAAAGAAAGCATGGATCTTTTCTTTATGGGCTGAGATGGATTGATTGATGATTGTTTGGGGCTTATGGGACATCACAACAACCAGTCCAAGATATTAAAGCTTTCTAATGAAAAGGGCTCGTCCATGGAATTCAAAAAAAAATGTTTCGTCTCCAATCTATATGGAGAAATCCCACCATCCATTCTTCTTTCGGGACCTAGCGTCCTTTCTGGCATACCACTTAGTGCTTAGCTCTAAAACCATTTGTAACCGCTTAAGACTACCCCTATCTAATATTGTTTTCTTTGAATTTTTCCTTCCATGCTTCCCCTCAAGATTTTAGAACGTGTCTCTCCAACCATTTTCTGCCACATGTCGCTCGTTGGCTTCGTTGTACTCCTTCATGAGTTGAGTGAGGCGTGACAACTTTTCTCTCCTCCATGGTGTTATCGATTTCCAAAAAGTGTTAGATTCTGGTGTTCAAATTATTTTCTTTAGATTTTTGTAACTTAACACACAAAACTCAGATCGACTTGGTTTCTTCACCAAAGTCGTAGAGTTTTAGTCCCCTACACTTGACGTTTTCTTTTGAATTTTTTACTCAACCTGAGGACGAAATAAAGATGTTCAAAGTAGCGAAAAACTCATGCTTATCGTTCTTAACTAGATTTCTTGATCTCATATCTCACTTTGGGGAGGAGAACAAAACATTCTTTATAAGCATGTGAAAACCTCTTCTTAACAAATGTATTTTAAAACCGAACCGCAAGATTGACGATGATACATACTAGACGGTTGAAGAAAAAACGGTAAATTAAAAATGGCGGGTTGATTTCTTATCTTTCACTCTGCTCTTTCTTTCTTGGTTTCTTTCCCTGTTTTTTCATTGTGTTGGACATGAGTGGCAGACAGAATTTCCAGCCCTACTATTTTCCACCATCATCTTGCCCTTTCTTTAATTAGTGCTTTGGATATTTGGAAGATTAGCTTAGCTTAGCTTAGCTCAGCTCAAGATTACCCTTAATAAACTGCAAAACATGGGACAAAGAAGTTAATTACATGTTAATACATCTTTTCATATCTTAAAAGAAGCACTAGTTTTCCATTTTTACAAAAGTTTTAACCAAAAATATTTTTTAGAGGGACCAGTCAACTAAAAAAGTGCACCCAAAAGGTTTAAACACATCAAAACTTTAATTAATCAAATTGGGAGCAATATGATGAAACTATAACCCTAGCTAGCTGGATTTGGGTTTTCACCATCATTTTAGAATTTAAACTAACTTGTTCTAATACTATTTGCAATAGTTTAACCCATCGTGAGTAGATATTGTTCTCTATCGACTTTTTCTTTCGAGCTTTTACTTTCCACCACAGAGAAATTTCCATATTTTTATAAGAATACTTCGTTTTTCTCTCCAACCAATGTGTGATCTCACAAAAAGTTGATAAATTTAAAGTTGATATTTCAAAGTCTCATAAGGGCTCACCTTTTTCTTTAGTTGGTAGCTTGTTTTTGTATTTATTGGGTCACTTCAATGTATACTTAAAGCAGCCAATGGGACGATAATCTTAGGACATTTAAATTTCTTAGGTACACAAATTATTAATGATTAGATGCATTGTGGTTCGTTGAAATACTAAATGATAATCATAATCTTCTGAAAATCTGGGTTGAAAATTAGTTTTATACCAAAATTCACTTTAATAAGCTGATTGCTAAAAATAAAAAACTTTCCATTGTTCCAAAGTATTAGTAGCCATTTTCAACTGTTGTTCCCGTCCTAACGGAGGAGATAGCCTTCTAATCAAGACAATGATTAGGGATAATTCACAATATTTAACAATTTTCTTTTTCTTTCTTTTTTTATTTATTTATTATTGTTTTTTTTTTTTTTTTTTTTTTTTTTTTTTTTTTTTTT